TCTGCAGTCAGGGGTACATGGGGGAATCCGACCCGGTGGCAGAAATTAGAAATAACTTTATAGAAATAGCCAATCTTCTCCCTGAAGGTCTTGGTTGTTAAGTAAGCCATATAGAGGCATCAGAGTTAAATTGATATATATATATATTATATATTTTTTTCTCAACTCAAAAAGATTAATCGATTATCAAAATAGATTATTTTTAATAGTCAACCCCGTGTGAAACTGTGGTGACCCCTATTAGGGGTCGTAAATGAGCGGTGGAACCCAATGTGATGACAAATAGGTCTATACTTGTGTTCCTGCTTGAAGTTGTGGTCAAAGCTTCATTAAACAGTTCACTTTTACTTTCACCACATCAGTTAATTTAGGATTTAGGAGGCATTATCTGCACTAACATAAGTCATGACAACACTGGTCAAGGATGCTGCAGGTTTATACACCCATTATGTTTCAATGATGAACGCTGTGAAGTTTTCTAATGCAATTTTCCAGTTGATTGACATGTGATTTTGGAAAGATTTTCTGCACCTGTTGGAAGACTAATGACAGGTGAATGACAGGCTAAAACTCCAAATGTCAAGTTGTCCCTTTTTCACACTGTTTCTTCCTGCAGCTCCATCATCAGCTGTAACAAGCCTCTGGTGAAGAGAGCAGAGGAAGGAGTGGAAGGCATGAACTCCTCCTGTTCCTCTGCGGCAGGGAAAGCCGACATGCACTTCTGCGCCGTGTGCCATGACTACGCCTCTGGGTACCACTACGGTGTGTGGTCCTGCGAGGGCTGCAAGGCTTTTTTCAAGAGGAGCATTCAAGGTATCAGCTTGGTCTTTCTGTCCATGTTTACTCACCATTTATTCCTTTTGCTCCTCAATTTAAATAAGTCTTTACAATATGGCTTTCTTTTCCTTTTCCTTAGGGCACAATGATTACATCTGCCCCGCCACAAATCAATGCACTATCGACAAGAACCGACGTAAGAGCTGCCAGGCCTGCCGCCTTCGTAAATGCTACGAAGTGGGCATGATGAAGTGTGGTAGGTGCTCACCTTTTATGATAATTGGGGTCCTTGACGATTTGTCATCTTACAGCGGCACTAAAGTTCAAGAGAAAAGGTAAAGAGTGTTACCAATGAGCTCATTACGGCATATGAACTTTGAGACTTCTGAAAACACCCAGGATCTAATGTATGATAATTTAGACAGAGGTTTTGCTGCTGCCTGGTAAGATGGATTCTTATGTAATATCAGGATTTTGTGATCTTGTGAGTCCAACGAACCGCACACAGTTACTTTTCCAGCAATGCTAAATGAATAGTTGCAGATTTGGAGAAATAGACTTGTTCCCTTTCTTGAATTAGTAGAGAAGGTCAATACCACTCTCATCTGTCTGTTAAATATCAGGCTACAGCCGACTAGCTTAACTTTGCATAAAGACTCGAAGTAGGGGGAAACAGCTTGCTTGGCTCTGTCCAAAGGTAACAAAATCCACTTGCTTGCAATATTGTTCTTTGTTTGTTGTACAAAAAGTCAAAATCCTCATGCGTTTACTAGCTTCAGCCAGGCTAGCTGTTTCCCCTTGCCTGCAGTCATTATGCTAAGCTAAGCTAACCATCTCCTGGCTATCATTTAATATTTGAAAGAGAGATACTGTATGAGAGGTATCAATCTTCTTGTCTAACTCTCGGCATGAAAGTGAGCAAGCGTATCTTCCAAAATATCAAACTATTCAGATTAATGGTTGAGAGTCAACCAGTCTCACGGTGGTTTTGCCCACAGAACTGCCCAGTTAAAAACAAAGCTGTGCAAATGAGCTGCTGGCAAGGGGTAACTGGAGAAGAGCTGCTGAGGGATGGAAGAGAGAAGAGAAAAACTTTGTCACACCTCTTGCTCATTGGGGCTCATGCTGTATATTAAAAGCAAGACACAAATAATAAAACATTTTAAGACATTTTATGAGACAGCTGAATGTCCAGAGCTGAATTTGAAAAATCTGCAAATGACTTTGTTCCTTGTAGATTTGTCTAGCTGATTTCAGACAGTGGCACTCTGCCCTTGAGAGCAGCAATTTTGTCTGCAGAGATTTCCAGGAAATTTTGAGGTGCTGACCATGAGGTTTTTGTTAAGTATGGGAAATCAGTGTTTCAATGAAAGCCAGTTTCTGTACAGTCTTTCTGCGCTCTTCTAAAGTCTCTTATTTCGTGAAAACATAACTCTGTTGATTACTCTGTGAACCTCGGTTTGTTACACTGCAGCACAGCTGGGAACCAGGCTCTGCCACCCTTGTAGAGTTCGTATTTAGCATAGTGATAAAGACCCTTTCTCTACTTAAGACCCAAACCAGCTATGAGAAGACCTTCTCAGACCCTGCTGCTAATAGTCAGGGAGTAGTCAGGGATTTAGATAAGTACAAAGAGACATCACATCTTTTTTTGTCGCTGTCTTACACCAGGTGTAAGGCGTGAACGCTGCAGCTACAGAGGGGCCCGACACCGCCGCGGTGGACTCCAGACTCGGGATCCAACTGGCAGGGGTTTGGTCCGGTTGGGGCTGGGTTCTCGGGCCCAGCGGCATCTCCACCTGGAGGCTCCTCTCGCCCCCCTCCCTCAGGTGAACCACGTGCACCACTCGGCCATGAGCCCAGAAGAGTTCATCTCGCGCATCATGGAGGCGGAACCTCCAGAGATCTACCTCATGGAGGACCTGAAGAAGCCCTTCACCGAGGCCAGCATGATGATGTCCCTCACCAACCTGGCAGACAAGGAACTGGTCCTCATGATCAGCTGGGCTAAGAAGATCCCTGGTAAGATCAAAACTGTCCAAGTCCAGTCCTGAGACCTTAGCACTGTTATATGATATAAATGGTCAACTCAAGTGTTTCTGGCTGAGCTGGTATGACAGATTTTGTTCTTTTTAAGGATTTTAATCTGAAAATGGTTAAAAAAAAGAGTCATGTGATATTAACTAATGGGCACAGTTTTTGCTGTAACTTCGTATGGAGGCGAATCAGGGCCAAACATTTTGTTTAAAAAAATAAATAATAATCTAAATAAATTTGTACTATTTTTTTACATTTAAATGCATATGTTATAACCTTTAAAATCATATTTAATATAATTCTTATCTATATCTATATTTTTTTTGTTCAACTGACTTTTTACCTTTTAAGATGCCATTTCTTAGTCAAGTACATAAAACATACAATATAAACATATATAACACACTAAAACTTGCATAAATTCACATAGAATATTAATATTGTGACAGCAGGACATAACTCTTTAATCAAATGTAAAATTTAAAATCCTTCACTTTGATTTTTTGTGAATTTCTTTTCAGTTTTGAACATAAATTTAAACCTTGAGCTATTGATTATTTTATTTTCTACTTGACAAAACATTCTTGCAATGAGAACATGGAAAAAACAGGAATTGTAATCTGCATCTTTGTTTAATAACTCCATATTCCCTTCACATTCTGGTTGCTTTTGGGAATAAATTTGCTTTGTGTATACATTAGTTTGGTCATGGTCTCAATATAGACATTTAAAGAACTTTTAATTAAGAGTCCAGTTTACATGTAATGAAATAAGGCTGGGGGCATTTTGTATGGCCTTGCTGAGTAAAAGAGCCATTTCAAGGTTAAGGTCAGGGTAAACATTCGGGCCATGTGTTCACTGGTGATGATTCTGGGTCAGTGGACGCAGTTTGGCTTCGTAACCATCAACAGTGTGTGGAAGTCAGGCTTGCTGAAAACCAGGAAACAAAAGAGTGAGGGTTCTAAAGGTAAAAACAAACCCGAGGCCACGGACGTAATTTGGGGGG